AAAGTGCAAAATAAATTATACATTGAAGATGGATGTGCAAGTTAGACATCAACAAACACAAATAAGTTGAGTTCAAAGAAAATATTAACTAAGGAGAACAAAATAGTTGATGGCGTGACGAAGCACCACAATCTTAGCCGTATTCATATCATAGATAGATCATGGACAAAAGAGAGTATAATTTGTCAAATATAAAAATATACCATTCAGAATAAAGATTTATTTAAGGAAGCCACCCGAGGAAAACTTCAAAGACACATAAAGCATTTAATCACATATGAAATATATATAGCGTAGTCGTTGCACAATATTTTTAAATAATATACGAACTTGTAGTCATAGTAACCCAAAAGAGAATAAACAAGAGTTCCAGGTCTATCTAACAACAAATATATCGACAAACATTTTCCCAAAACATACAAGGAAAAAGAGAACAAAATAGCCATAAAGATAGAAGATGAAAAATAAAACATAAGCTCGCAAGTATTTACAGCAATCCCGACGTAACATAATTAACAAAATCTTTCTTCTAAGTTTGGCAATTTTGTTTGTTGCTAAAGACAAAGTTACAACTAAAACTTGAAAGATAATACCACCACCTCTTGAGTCGTAGACCCATCCATCACTTTCTGCATTTCAGGCTCCGGCTTTGGTAGAGCTAATCGACTGGTTGCATCATCTTCTTCCTCACAAAGCTGCAGCAGCCTATAAATCTCTAATGAAAATGAGCGTAGTCAGCCTCCCTACATAATTATCAACACTGTATTTCAAATTCAGCAGCCTATAAATCTCTAATGAAAATGGGCCCAGACTCCCTCCCTACATAAGCATCAACACTGTATTTCAGATTCCAATTCTTTTATCTGTATAAGAATGTGTGCTTATGTCCATAAAAAAATTCCAATTCGAACAATAACCACTACAAAAATATTTTGCAACACGTGGCCAAGAGTGAAATGCACAGACCCATATCCATTATCCATAAACATCATCTACCCCAACCACATGAAATTTGTAATGCTCCCATGAAAAAGAAATCGTCAGAAGAAAGACGAAATTCCAAATAATTTCACAAAGGATCAATATTAACACTATTTTTATTATTCCAAATCGACAGCTTTCGAAAATAAAATACTCACTTATTTTGGTGGGTTCCACCTATTCGAAGATGAAACAAAAAAAATGAAACGGCAAAATACACTGAACAGTAAAAACCAGAAGCGAGGAAGGAATTGTACCTAGAGGGGAGTTGCGTCTGGAATTTGTTGCTACGGTGGCGACGAAGGGTAGAGAACTACAGCAATTAGGGTAGAGAACTACAGCAATCAGGGTTAAGGCAGAGAGAATAGGAAACCCATCGAACCCAGAGCGAGTTGTGGCTGGAATTTGTTGAGCGACGAAAGCTGAGATATGTTGATTGTCGAGAGAGAGAAGAGAGAGCGAGAGAATTAGGGTTAGGGCAGAGAAAATAGAAAATAAGAAACCAATGTGGAGTTGCTCTTTTGTCATTTTTTTCCCCCGGCTTGCTCGGTCGCTCGGCTTCAATGACTACACGGCTAGGAAAAGTCGGCTTGGCTTATGAACAGTACTGGGGAAACTGCCTCTTTTATTTATGTAGGGATATGAAACCTATAAATCATTAGAATTTTTTTTTTTGAATTACATCTGTGGTATTACATTTTTATATTAATTTGAAAAAGAGAGTTTCCAATTTAACAATGATGATGAAATGTAAATCGTCTCTCTTTTTCTTTCTTTTAATTATTTTTATGGCTGCAAAGATTAGGAAATATGGGACTAGAAGGGATTTTGGGATAGGTCATGGGTGGAGTCACGGAGTTGGGGGTTATTAAATTTGATCAAAATAGGTAAATATGGAGCTGCTTTGAAGCTCGAAACATGGCTGCTATATATTTACTTTCACATTTAAATTTTTATTTCAATATTGTAAGTTATGATGGTGAAATTCTCAAAGTATCGCATTATGTCATTTCATAATTTTTGCTCAAATCCTACTTCTCAGGTAAGCAATGACTTATCCTTGCTTATTATTAACGTATTGGAAATGATTGAAGTCCTGTTGGCTTGTATAATTGTGGCATCGTCGACTTATATGATTGCATTGTAATATTGCACCATTGTCGGATTATATTGGCAACTCTCAAGTGAAATGCGTCTATCTAGTTGGATTTCACTAGGCTTGTTAGCGTTGTCACCGTTAAGGTAGAAGAAATTGGTGGTGGTGGACCGTAGATTTGAGGTGAAGGTGCTAGGGTTGGAGGCAGAGGTAGTGGTGGTGGATTTGAGGTGATGACGATGATTTGGATCGTGCCGGCGATGGTGAAGAAGGGTGGGGTGAGATGAAAAATGATTGTGATAAGTTAATTTGGTAATTTGTGATGCATAAAAATATGTCATTTGTATTTAGTAAGTGATCGCAATCATAAATTGGGGGTTATTGTGATTGTGATTTGTTTGATTAAATTTAGAAGTCACAATATAACTACCTGATTTTTGAAATTTTTGACAAGTTTTATATTTTTTGAAATTGTATTTTAAAACATTAATTAACGGTAAAACGTTACATAATTGATTTTGGATCAAATCAATGGCAGTGAAAATAAAAATAATAAATAGTATTAAATATTTTTAATGCAAATTGACCAGTTTTCATTGTGAAATGGCTGATACCACATGGCAGGGGCGGATCCAGCACCTGGCCAGCCCCCGCAGCCGCCCGTGCTGGATCCGCCGGAAGCTGTAAGTTCTGGCCGCCGAGTTGCTGTCCGCCGGGGAAGAAG